CCCTCCAGGGCACATCTCAGACCCTGACGGCTTGGCTCGTCCCCACAGGCTCTGCTCCCGCTGGCCCTGGAAGGCACTGATGTGGGGCAGACGAAGGCAGCCCAGGCTCTTGCCAAGCTCACCATCACCTCCAACCCGGAGATGACTTTTCCTGGCGAGCGGGTGTGTGTCCTGCTGCCCCAGCCCTGGCCTCTCCTCCACCCCTCCCTGGGCCCTGATGGCCTCTGACCCGGGCTGTGGCTCCTCCTTGGGACAGACAGGAAGCCCCGGGGTGGGGAGGGCCGCCTTCCGTCTGGAGGTGGCCTCTCACCTTCGGGTTGGTGGGGTTGGTGGGGGCTGGATGAGTGGCCCTGACAGGTGGCTGTATTATAGATCTATGAGGTGGTCCGGCCCCTTGTCTCCCTGCTGCACCTCAACTGCTCAGGCCTGCAGAACTTCGAGGCACTCATGGCTCTCACAAACCTGGCGGGGATCAGTGAGAGGCTCCGGTAAGGTCCCCAGGACAGCACTTTACAGTTTGAAGAGCACCTTTTGGTCACTGCTTGACTTGAGCCTCACAGGGGCTTCCCTGCAGCTGGGGAGACAGGCCAGGAGGTTTGACTTGTACCTCGGTCCACCAGTGCGCAAGGCCTGGGCCAGTGCCAGCGCACGCTCTGGAGTCAGACCGCCTGGGTTCACGTCCTGACTTCACTGGTTGCTAGTGTGTAACCGCAAACGAGTGCTGCTCCGTGCCTCAGTTTCCCCTCTGTGGAATGGCATGGGTGTAGCACCTACCTCAGGAGTGGTAGTGAGCTTTAAATGAGAAAATACACGCAGAATCTCCGAGTACGTGGCACCTGGCTCGCTCCCAGCAGTGTGGCCAAGTGGTATGCGTCAGCTGTTACCGAGAACGGTGACATTGGGCTCCCTGTCTGCACTCAGCCTCGGTTTCTTCTTCTGCAAAATAGTAATAGTAAGCGTACCTGCACCTTCACTGTAGGGCCGTGGTGAGGATTAAGAAAGAGTCCAAGCTCTGGGTCAGGGTAAGTGCTTAAATATTAGATGTTAGCAGCACTGTCGCCAGCTCCCCGGTCTCCGAACTCCTACCTTAGAGCATTTTCCACGGTCCCATGCTACCTCCTAGGCCTGGTGAAGAAGCTGGAAGCCACCGCAGCTCATACCTGGTGCAGGAGGGTCTTTGGACACTGCCCGAGAGGTCCTTGACCCGGGGCTCGAATGCATGGGGATGCGGGGGTGGGGGAAGTGGATGCAGGAGCTCTGAGGCTGCTGACCTTTCCACCCTGGCCCCGCAGGCAGAAGATCCTGAAAGAGAAGGCCGTGCCCATGATTGAGGGCTACATGTTCGAGGAGCACGAGATGATCCGCCGGGCAGCCACGGAGTGCATGTGTAACCTGGCCATGAGCAAGGAGGTGAGAGCGGGTCCGGGTGGTCCTGACGGGCAGGTGCGCAGAGGTACCTGTGCCCCGCCTGGCTTTGCCGCAGCTCACTCAGTCCCCTCCCCTCCTCTGGCCACAGGTACAGGACCTCTTTGAAGCCAAGGGCAATGACCGGCTGAAGCTGCTGGTGCTGTACAGCGGAGAGGAGGATGAGCTGCTGCGGCGGGCCGCTGCTGGGGGCCTGGCCATGCTCACCTCCATGCGGCCCTCGCTCTGCAGCCGCGTCCCCCAAGTGGTCAGTGCCTCTTCTCGGTGGGGGAGGGGACGTGGGCCTGGACCGCCCTGCATGGCGGCCGGTGGGGGGACATCCCAGGGCACGTGGGAGTGTTCCTGCCAGGTCTGAGCCTGCCGCTCGGTGGCAATGCTGCCCTGTTTCCCGCAGACCACACACTGGCTGGAGATCCTGCAGGCCTTGCTCCTGAGCCCCAACCAGGAGCTGCAGCACCGGGGTGTGGTGGTGGCACTGAACATGGTGGAGGCCTCGAAAGAGATCGCCAGCACCCTCATGGAGAGCGAGGTGCTGGAGATCCTGTCGGTGCTGGCTAAGGGCAAGGAGAGCCCCGTCAGGAGAGCTGCTGCGGCTTGCCTGGGGAAAGCCGTGGAATACGGGCTTATCAAAGCCAACCGGGATGGAGAGTGAGGGGCTGCCTCACGCACACGCTACCTGCTGCAGCGGAGGAGTGAGGGCAGACACAGCTTTGGCTGCTGGGGGCTGGGATGCTGCACACTGGCCCCTCCTCCCTAGCTGCCCCTGATGTCCTCTGCGGAATCAGGGGCCACGGTCAGTCTCGGCCCTGCTGCGCCAGCACTGCCTCCAGCCTCCCGCGGCGGGGCCTTCTGCAGTAGTGTAGCCCGCTAGGAACGGGCAGGGTGCGTCCTAAGCCGGCCGCGCGTTCCCGGCACTGGGAAGGGCACGTCAGGCAGCCGCACCAGCAAGGAGCCTCACCCGAGCCTGCTAGCGGGAGCACGGCGGCCCTCTGAGAAGGAGGACGTGCAAGTCAGTCGTGGTCCCCGTCCGGAGGCAGGGACCTGGCTGTGCGCCGCCGAGCTACACAGCGCAGCTACCTGTACGGAAGGACTCCAGCGGGTTCCTCACCCTGGAGCCTGCTGAGCGCTTTTTAATCCTGCTGGAGGATCAGGGTAAACCTAGGCAGCTAATAAAAATCTCTTCAGTCGCGTGGGAATAAATGGCTTTGGACTCGTCGATGCTGGTCCTTCAATACTCTTGTCTCTGTACTGAGCGTTCCCAGTGGCCCCCACTGGGCAGTGCGCTGGATTTGGGGTTCGTGTGTCGTCCTGGCCTGCTCTTCCCTCACGGAAAAATCCTGTAGCTGATCCAGGGGAGGGCGAGAGCTCCACCGCCCGCCGGGGCAGAGAGCCGCGAGAACCCGCTTCCGTTCTGGGAGTCCAGGTTGAAGCTCATTGGCTCGCAGAGACGAGTGACAGGCCCCGAGCCAATGGAAGGCCAAACTCGCCGACGCACTCGCCTAGTACGACTGCTTCCGGTTGGGCATCACACCCTCTCGTGTGGGTTGTGAGCTGCCGCCGTCCGGGGCTGAGGGGAACGGCGGGGTGCCCGTGTCGCCGCGGTCGCTCCTCGCCAGCCCTGCAGCTCGGATTCTAACCCGAGCTCCGTGCGGGCCTGCAGGGGGCGGGACCGTCCGGCCCACCTCTGCCTCGGGTCCGCGCCCACCGGAGGTTACCCCACCTCACACCCGAGGCTGCAGCGGCACAGCGCACACCCCCGGGCCGGCTCGACAGAGCTCGGGCCGGAGAGGCCGCGGCCGGGACTGCGGGTACCGAGGTGAGCACCGCCCTGCGACCGCCCGCCCCGAGCGGTGACGTCACCGCCCTCGCCGGCGATTGGCCCGGGGAGGCTGCGGCAGCCAATGGGCGCCTGGCCCGGGGGGCGGCTCTTCAAACATTTAGTCCGCGGCGGCCGGCACCCGGGTCCTGGGCGGCTGCCCTGCATCCCCGCTCTTGCTCCCTCGAGACTGCCCGCCGGGAGGAGCTGCCCGAGGAGGGTGGAGGGCACAGGGTCAAGATCAAGGTCAGAGGCCCCCTTGGGTTAGGAGCCCAGGTCTGGGTCAAGGAGCTTTGGTCTCAGGAGGGACCCCATAGCTGACTTCAAAGCCGAACATGCTGTACGGAAAAAGCGGCGTTGTTTTTGTAACCACGGGACAGTGTATTCGCTTCCCGATTTATGTGTGAACTCTCTGGGGGCAGACAGCCGTCTTTCTCATCCGCCCAAGGGAAGGCAACAATAAATGCTTGCAGAACGAATAAATGACTAGGTGAGGTCCAGTTGAAATTGTGTTTATATAGGTCCCTTGAAAACCAGTAAGTACCACTGGACTTTCTAAAATCAACTCTAAGTCCTGGATTTAATAAGCCCGTACTTGCCTTGTGCCTGTCGTGATATGAGCCAGTACGTGAACCGTTTATTTCCATCTGTTCCGCACAGTTCTACAAGGTACGTACAGACAGCACCCTCTCCTATCCCCTGCCTTTGTAAAACTGAAGAAACTGAACTGGACTCAGAAAGCTTAAGTAAAGGGACCAAGGACACAGGCACAGCGGCAAACACGTGAACCCTGGAGTTGGTTGAACCCGCACAGGGCGCTGTCTCCCAAACGCTCTGCTTTGCCCTGGTGGGAAGAGCACTGTATGTGGAGTCGGGGGGCCTTGATTTCGGCCTCTGCCCCTCTTGGTCCTAAGTTATGTGATTGTGTAACGGTTACTTTCTCTGGGAGTCTCCTCTGTCAAATGGGGGTAATTCTGGTTCCCAAGATGACATGGGATAACGTGCCTGACACTGGGAGCCGGAGGGGCTCACATCCTAGGACAGCGTCTAAGGGAGAGGCTGCAGGGGGCGGGACCGTCCGGCTTAAATACCTGGTGCCTACTCTGTGGAGCAATGAGCTTGCTTGAGTCAAAGGGAAGACAGGGCAAGTGCCCCCATTCTGGGCAGCCCAGAATCGTCCTCAGTCTGGTGGGATTCCTAACCCTGTCCCGCCTCCCACCCCATTCAGGTGGCGGCCAGCATGGCCGAGGAGCGCCGGGGGTCCTGGTTCGGCTTCGGTTTCTGCGGCTTCGGGCAGGCGCTGGGCTCGGGGCGCGG